GTCCATTTTCTAAAATACTTCTACTTTTTTCTCAGTCAAACAATTTACATGACAAAACGGCTGCTTTTGCAAAGACGCTCGCCAGTCTTCGTTTTATCTTCGCTAGTAGTCGGATGGCCTTCGCGTGGTTAAAATTATTATATCCCTTTGTGCGTGGGCAACGATTGATCAATTTAGCCGGCAGTAGTTCACTATTCGGCTTACCAAATTCAAAAGTTTGCTTTCGTTGAAATCTTCCCCCTTCAGTTGATTCCAGAGATATAATAAATATCTTACTAATCCCGTTTCTCGGTCCTTGCTGAAATTTACGGAACCTCGTTTTTTATCGCTCGGATTTATGGCCCACGCTCCTTGCACTTGGGCCATGAATCTGAGTGAAAAAACTCGGTCTGTAACTTCTAGTAGGGACCTCGAACTTGGTTAATAAAAGGTATATATGAACTCACTGACCAATTTTCCACTGCGTCACTTATTGTCCGCGGAACGGACGAGTCTCCAATGAAATAATTGACGTCATATATCCCCTTAGTTACTTTCTTAGTCGCTTGCTTCGCCAGTGTCACTGCGAGCTTTTGAGCCTCTTCTGCGATACTTTCACTGTATTTCAAAGCTGGAGTTCCATGCCTGTTTCTGTACAAGTTGTGCTTCCGAATGCAGTCTGATTCAATACTTCCATCCGCTGAGGATTATTGGAACGTATTGAGAGTCTCAAAAACGATTACCTCCCATTCAGCCCTTTCCGCTCCGTTACAGAATTTTTTTTTAGTTTTTCAAATATTTCGAATCTGTTGTTAAAAAGACATTTGCAATTTTTTTGACAAGTTTAACTCTGGTTATTCTGAAATGGTCTTTGAAAGTGAGCATAATCATTCTTGATTTTTGCCGTCATGTTTCCTCTGCCTTGGAGGTCAAATGCTTTTTAAAAGCTCTATAAAAGTAACCTCATAGGTTGGTCTAATTGAATCTTTGATATTTTTGGATGATAACGGGAAGAAAAAGGGGAAAAATAAGCTATTCATGTAGCAAGGATATACATATAAATAAATCATTAATTCCATGGAAGGGGATGGAAACAAATCTCCAGTTTGAACTTTAATTTATAGAGGTCAGTCTCCTTTTAAAAAAGAAGGCGATAACGGCTTATTAACTTGGAAGTCTAAGTTGTTCCTTCTTGGTTTGTAGGATATTGTAATGTGAGAATCTTTCAATAAGGCAGTTTATATTATGCTCCGAATATGATTTGAAATAACGTACCATTTTGTAGGACCAGGCAGCCAACGAAATAACAAAGAAGAATCCTCATACTTAGCGGGCGACGTTGAATCTACAATTGCTTACTCCTTTTGCATAGAGTTTGAGCGTAACATGACGAACAAAAGACGATGTTAACAGAAGAGAGACTAATCAAACGTGAAGTGTTTAAAAGACAATTACTTCAATACAGATCACTAAGAAATTGAAATTATCTTGAAACAATTCTGATAATGTATTCTGATTTAAATTATCGCACTGTAAAATTTCACTTAACATTTGCAAAAGGTGGCAATCCCGTGAAGATTCCCTTGGAAATAACTTCTAATAAACGGGAAAAGTACGAGTTGCAGTATAAATAATCAAATATTCCTTAGAATGCTTCGAGAAAATAACAACCCATTGAGATACTAGGAAGGTAATTTTTGCGAGTTCCAAGCTAATAGGGCTTTTGAAGTTTGGTTACGAAGAAACTTAGGAGAAAGATTGGTATTTCAATTAAATTTGCCTTGTATCTATCACAGTTAAAATTCCCCAAAACCGAAAGACGTTTTAGAATACTACCATTGAGTATGATTATAAAATTTCATCAGCCATATTTTTAAATCTTTCCCTATTAAGCACATTTGAGCTGTCAGGATTTAGATTGCATGGTTCGTGTTTTTGTTTTGCTCTGTATTGTTTTCAATTTCTTTGGTTTTTTAATAGGTGCGAACAAAGCAGACAACGTTAGAGGGATCATTGAAAATTATACTAAAATATCACATAATGGTACAGAGTACTTCGAGCAATACATATTGTTACTAGGTAACAATTCATTAATTTTACTTAAGTTCTAAGATCTCTCTATGAAATCTCTTTACTCTCTGCCACGTAGTTTAAACAATATCAGTTCTGAGAATTTGGTGCCAGATCGGAAAATACTTGCTACCTGATTTTTTTCTTTATTCTCATTAGCCCTGTGCCTAACAATGCATGGATAGCAAATGGAGAAATTACTCATTGGCAAGACGAGGGGTGAACGTTTTACGTGCTTGCTGGTCGTGTCATTTTGTTAATTAACTAAATACGACCAGCACAGAGATCAAGAAAATGATTTTCAAAAGATACTGTTGGATTTTCTGTGTTTCCCTGGCTTTTCAAGATGGTGAGACATATTGAAATGTGTAATTAATACTATTTCTATTTGCTTCACTGATGATTTTTGCAACTGAACAGTTCATATTGTCACATCGCTACTTTCGTACAATTCTCGGGAGGGAAGAAAAATTACTTGAAATAATTTATTTCGATTTGAGTCGACTGGTTGCATACTCAAGGGGATGATATCCTAAAAAAGAAAAATCTTTCCTGAAAAACATTTCCAGTTGTCCATTCATAAACTTTTCTTGTCTTTCTTATCTAAAAAAAGGTTGAAATGTAATTACATTTCGAGGATCAGATGATCGACTGAACCGAGAGCAATATACATTCGATCACAAATTTCAAGTTGTTTTTTTTACTATTATCATAACTTTGCGAACTTTTTCCCAAATATGATTGCCTTTTTTATGAGAAATCACTGATGGAAAATTTAAAAACTATCATAAAATTTTCAAAAAGTTTAGAAAAGGATTAGTTTCCTGCATAGGGATCCTGTATTAGCCTCTTAGTTACTAAAGAATCAATTTATTAGTTACAACGTATTACTTTTTATGACAAAGGGTGGGACCATATCCCTATTGCCGCTCTCCTTCCTCTCACAGTTATGTTATTGTTTTTTGGCAGCAGTTCTCGCCAGTATTGCTTCGGACTGTTTAGAAGAGCACAACCTTTACCGAAGGCGATATCATATCCCGGATGTGAAGTACAGTACTAAGCTCGGGAAAAGAGCTCAAAGTTTGGCGACTTTCATGGCAAAAACTGACGCCGAACTGCGAATTCAAGGAAATGTGGATGAGAACTTGTATCATGAAAACTCATCACTTCCCATGACTATAAGTGATGGTTTAGAGCAATGGTAAGGAGGGTAACTTAGGAACTTGAGCACCAAAGGTTCAGGTTTGCCAAATGAGTTTTAGCTTAAAACAAATTCCGTCCGGTATAATCCAGAGGTCCATACATAACAACATTGTCAATAAACCCTTACTCAGACCCCACCTTTGCTGTTTTCCTCACCATTGCCATGTACGTTACGAAATATTTTTTCTCTCACTTTGATCTCGCTGATAATTTTCTTGAAGGTTAGACGGTGGTCTCTATTACAACTATAAAAATCCACAATCAAACTTCGAAAACAGTAACTTCATCAGGGTAAGTGGTATACGTTGACCTTTCCCTCCTTTTTTTTCTTGATTTTTCCGAGATAGTTCCTCGTAATCCGTATTCAAACACTTCTTGTATATTTATCTGCTAGTAATTCAAGATGTGAATATGCTTCAAGAATTAGAATGGACCTTTCAATTCCATTGCTTTTTAGCTCGTTTGGAAATCGTACTTGAGGATCGGATGTGGTTATGCTTTAGTGAACAAGAACGATGGCATTGTTGAAACCTATGTGGTGACTTTGTACGAACCGCCAGCTCCTCGACAATTAACTGCAGAAGACCTTATGGCAAACGTTTACCCATCCCAGTAATCGTTAAGGTATCTTATGTCTGCTAATCTAATTTAAAAGTTCGTTGTTGCTTATATTATCAAACTAAAACAAAAAAAATCAGATTTTCTGAAGAAGTGACCGTGATTATTGGTTGTTTGGAGGATAAACTAAAAGAAGCTTGCTCAGAGAAATTCAATTTTAATTGCACTATAGCAATACTATTGAAAATACGAAACGATGGAGACATTTCTAATTTTCTTGTCTGATATAGTACTATAATTGAAAATACATATATCATTTTGATTTTCCCTAACAGGTTGTCAAGTACTAGTTGCAGATGACAGATCTGAACATGTAGCTGCAGTGGCCCATCAAGGCTCATAGAAATCCTTGGGATCAATATTTGAAATAGATGAATTGTAGAACAAGGGAATTTAAAAAAAAAACTATTAAATTAATTGGTGAATAAAGACTTAAAAAACGGCACTGTTCATTAGTTTTTCAGCCCCAATGGCTAGAAATGAAGTGTTTCATTCATGACTATAGTGGTGCCATTAACTCCTGTTAGATGCTTGGCATCTCAGGCGACTGTAAATTGGAAATTTATCAATTGTCTTTATGTGAGTTTAAGTTCGTGCTGTGGACTAAAAAGAAAAAATTAATCGTCATTGGACTCCTGACAAGCTGTGTAATGCAGTTATAGTCACTTACAAACGATCTGACTCGAAGTAAATGGTTTATGCATAAAGAACAATTTAGCACACGAAAGAAAATTTCGTAGTAGTAAAGGAAATCTCATGGACAATAGTCACCCTAAAATAACATAAACTGTGAGTCCTCTCAGCTTAGAGGCGCGTGTTACCAAGTTTAAACCCCAGTTAAAGTAGGATTAAGTAAAAGTGTCAGTTGTCCATCAACGCATAGTTATGGTTTAGACCACGAAAGAGATTATGCACGGGTGGTTTGGTTTCATCATGAATTGCACTTTGATTGGCATTTTCAAGAAATAACCATTAAAAAAAAGAAGGAAAAGAAGAAAAGTAAGAAAATAAGCCATCGCCTAGCGCCTATCGCGACGACCCCGCCCACTCCCTTCCCACAGATCCTCGATCTGATGTTTCGTTCCCAGACCTACAACAAAATTAATTATTTGTTCATTTCGCCACGAGCATCCGACTTTCTTGTTTGGCCCAGGAACATAACATGGCCTCTGTTCGCACCGAAACTATCGCTTCTAGTAATGGAAAATCCACTGGTCCAGCAAAACTAAACAAAGATCCCACTATAGCGCAGATCTTTGAGAGTTTAGAGTACGGCCCAGCACCTGAGGCAGCTAGTAGCGTGGACTCGTGGCTTGAAGAACATGGAAGGGACTTCGGACATTTCGTAAACGGGAAATGGGTGAAACCCGAGGGGAGGAAAGTTTACGAGACAAGAAATCCCTCCACAGGTGAGCGATGAATCGTCTTGTTAAGGCCACTGTGAGCTATCTGGAGTGATCCTCATGTGATCATAGTATTTATTAATGAACGCCCCCAAGCTGCACTGTGCTGGATCGCGGACTTGAGTTACAACTTTGAAGGAGTGCTACGTGTGCATCAGCTGATCTCGTTTATGACTTATGCAGAATTATATTGTAGATTTATTCTAGAACCTTGCAGTGCTCTTGTTTCTTGCATCTCTCTTCTCTCTCAGGGTTCGGAGATGCCCCTCTCCTCCTTCCCCCCCCCCCCCCCCCCCCTCCCCCCTTCCCGGCTTCAAGCTGTGCTGCGCGGGATAAAGTACCAGGGAGTATACGCTAATCAGATGGTTTTTTTCAGGGGAGAGGGAATATGTAGCAGTGCAAGAATCAAAATTCAGGAAAACAAATAAATAAGAATGCCAGATTAAGTCGTTTGCTTCCCCTTGGTTGATATGATAACTCTATCCTTCGTCATACTTCAACTACAAAAGACAATCAGATTTTATCTGAATAAGCACATTTTTGATCACACAGAAGTTCCTTTCTTCGTTGATCATGAAGTCAAAGATCAGCAAGTCCTAAGACAATGTCAACATTCATTGGCTTAATTTCTCTGTTGACATGGACAGATTTTCTTGACTGTAGCAACAGCAATTCCACAATCAACCTTTTTAAGATTATCTACCTTTTTTGAATGTTTTGTCTTCCATTAAATTCACTACTTAAAACAGAAGAGCATGTCAATAACTATCTATGTATTAGATTGGTCACATCTTCAAGCCAGTATGACTTTCTTTGTTTGATAAGAAAAAAAGTGTAAACTTTGTAGGAGAGAAACTGGCCTCCACAATGCAAGGAGAACAAGAGGACATAGACCAAGCAGTAGGAGCAGCAAGAGAGGCTTTTAAATCCTGGAGTAAGCTTCCTGGTCATGTACGAGCTCGTTATTTGTACAGTATAGCACGTCATGTTCAAAAGCATGCTCGCTTGCTGGCTGTACTTGAAAGTATGGACAATGGTAAACCAATCAGGGAGACACGAGATGCTGATGTACAGATTGTTGCAAGACACCTTTATCATCATGCTGGCTGGGCTCAACTGATGGATTCAGAAATGAGAGGTAAACAGTTTATGACAAGAGTAAACCTTTTGTTTTAGAATTTGCTTATTTCAATTTGTAAGTGGAAAAGAAGTTCTTTTTCGGTGGGAGTCTTATGTTAGTCTTAGTCATACAGGAAATAGTTACAAGTAACAAGAAGTATGTATAACTGTCAATAATGATAACTGAGTTGCAGTCGGTCATCAGAATAGTTTCTCAAGAAAGATTTGTATCAGATACTCTTTCTATAGTAGTAGTCCTATGTCTTAAGTCTGGCCTAAGTAAAGAGAGAGATGTAAAGAGACTGTATTGAACCTCTCAGCTACCAAAAAAGATATGCTCTTATCTTATGTATTCAGCTATGGTTCTTAAGGTTGATGTCAATTTGAAAATTCACTTAAAACCAAATTGCACCTGTACGTCCCTTACCACTTAAGTGTTTCGCATGCAAATACACTAGCTGTGCTTTAGGTGTTAGATAATTCCCTTATTAGAGAATTAAATTTAAATCTGAGCAAGTTTTCACCAGGATAATGGTTTAAAATTTTTGTTCTGTCTGATGATGTGTTCTTAGGATAACTTGCCTAAAACTGACCAATCAGATCACAGGAAATGAGCTTTGAAATCTGTTTATTTATTTATTTATTTATTTTTTACTTTAGCAGGCTTCTGTACTGAATACTGATTGGCACAATTGGATTTATATTTAGCTGGGGTCATTTTCTCTTTGATTTAATTAACCTCATTTGCAGTAGTCAATCATTGTGATTTTAAATCCTCTTTAGATTGGAAACCTGTAGGTGTGGTTGCTGCCATAGTACCTTGGAATTTCCCTCTTATGCTACTCTGTTGGAAAGTTTGCCCAGCCCTTGCAATGGGTAACACCGTAGTGCTCAAACCAGCAACTTACACCAGGCTATCAGCTCTTCTGTTCGCTGAGATTTGTGCTGAGGCAGGGCTTCCTCCTGGTGTATTTAATGTTGTTACTGGAAATGGTGCATTTGGAAGTTTACTTGCTGCACACCTGGATGTTGACAAGGTGGCTTTTACTGGTTCTACAGAGGTATTCTATTGAGATTTTCCTTGGTTGTATGACTCTCACAGAGATAAGTCATGTAATTCTAAAAAGTGTGAGTTACATGTTTATATAACTTACTAGATTGTCTGTGTGCATGACCATGTACTGGAGATAAACTTTACCTTTTCTTTGGCTTAAAAAATTATAATATCAGCTAAATTTTCATTTTTGTTTGTAGAAGATCATGACTGTTACAATGCAATTTGAATTTTAAAAACAAACTTAGAGATGAATTAGGATTAAAGTAGTTTGAAAATTTTGAGTCATAGTCCATTTATTCATATTTGAAGGTTGGCAAAGTTCTTCGAAGACTAACAGCAGGATCTGGTAAGAAACTGTCATTAGAGCTTGGTGGTAAATCCCCTGTGGTTGTGTTTGACTCGGCTGATTTGGACAGCACAGTTGAGGGTATTGTAGATGCCATTTGGTTTAACCAAGGCCAGGTTAGGAATCTTTTTTTGTTATATTTTCTGTGATTAGGCAAAGAAAATAGCTACAGTATTTTTTGTAATACTTGCAATTCATTTTGAGTGCAAATTCAAACAAAAAGGCCTAAAATTCAAACACAAATTGTATTGTGAATTTGATAGTGAAGATAGCCATGAGAGGTACTCCTTTATTTTGCCTAACTGGGTATGGTCATCAAACAGGTATATGGTATTTTGGGTTGTAAGTCTCAAACAAGGTATAAAATTTTACTACTTTCCCTCTTGAACACGGTGTCTTGCAGGATTTAAAGCTTTGATTAGGGTGGAAACTTTCACATTACTCAGTCTCCCGTAATTCTGAACTCTCTGTCTCTTTCTGTCTCTATGTCTCTATGCTGAGGTTGACATGCCACAAATTTTACAGTTAATAGCCTTAAATTAAAGTGAGCAGCAAAATGAACAGATTTTTTTTCCTCACACAGAAAGAGGGTTTGAGGACCTTTCAATACACTCCCACCCAAACTTTTATCCAGCCCTTAGCTAAAACATCAATTTTAAAATTATGTACATTTAAACTATAAATAACGCCCATTTTTTTATTATTCTTTTATATTTTTTTATCTTATGGTGGCACTATTATGGTGTAATGCTTTGATTCAGTGTTGAGAGATTTGTTTCTGAATTATGGACCTCTTGTTTTATTCTTCATTCCTAGTTGATGGTGTAATGCACTCCTTGAAAGAATTTTTTATTTGTATGAATCCCAATCATGTGATTTGTGGTTGTTTATTGTGTAAATTTTCATCTGAGACAATCATAATAATTATAATGATGTGTTGGCCTGTAGGTTTGCAGTGCTGGTTCCCGCTTAATTGTCCAAGAGACCTGTGCCAAGCAGTTGGTAGATAAGATCAAAGAACGCATGACGCATCTTCGACTTGGACACTGCCTAGATAAAGTGATTGACATGGGAGCAATAGTTGATCCCTCACAGAAAAAGGCCATTGAAGCTTTTGTCGAAGAAGCAAGGAAGGAAGGGGCTGAAGTGTATCAAAGCTGTGCATGCATGCCATCAAATGGGTCTTACTATCCGCCAACTCTCATAACTAATGTACAACCAGTGTCCAAGATTGTGATGGAAGAGGTACAGCAAAGAGAAAAGCAGTTACTATGTAATTTTGAATGAGATACATTTTGTACATGTAAAAATAAATTTAATTTTTCTTCTGTACTAAACAGGTATTTGGCCCGGTGTTGACAGTCCTCACGTTCAGAACTGCCAAGGAAGGAATAGCTTTGGCTAATAACACCAACTATGGGCTCGGAGGAAGTGTCTGGACAGAAAATTTGTCACTAGCCCTGGAGGTTGCCATGAGCATCAAGGCTGGCTCTGTATGGGTCAATGGACATAACCTTTTTGATGCTGCAGCTGGTTTTGGTGGATACCGTGAGAGTGGATTTGGTCGTGATGGTGGAAAAGAGGTTTGTTGAATTGCATTGATTTTGAGCCAGTTATAGCTGCTACACTATTGAGTTTTGCAAGTTGGGATGTGGCTTCTTTAAGATTTAGGATTTTGAGGGAAAGGGGGGAAAGGGGAGATTTGAGATTGAATAATGTTAATGTAAAAAGAACTCACGATTTGGGAATTTTGCAGTAGGTAATTGGCAATTTAATCCATGCTCTCCACCCAAGACCATAAATAATAATGATGGAGTAACAGCTTGAAATATCTTGACAAACAGTGAAAATGCTTTGGAGAATTGAGAGCATGATAGTCTATTTAATCCAGGGGTAAAAGGAAAGCGTACCTCCAGTTTCAATCTACATATTGCATATGAAGATTCTACTTCCCTTACCATATTGTGTGCCTAGCTAGCTGTGGCCATCTTGCCTGTGTTCATGATGTATTAATTCACTGAGGGTGAGTTTGAATACACTGACTGTTTGCATTCTACAGGGTTTGTATGAGTATGTTTACCCATCATGGCAAGCCAGACCTAGGCCCAGTGTGGATGATTATGATGTGAAATCCTTTGGCTCCTCAGTTCCAGCCAAAGTATTGAATCCAAATTCAAATCCTATAAAACTCCCAGATGCATCATCTGGAAAAGCAGGGATTGCTCCACTACCAAGGTAACCAAGGCTTGCTCTCAAACTCATCACCATTCCCTTTTTTTCTCCTTAGTTCTGTGTGTTAAACTTGTTTACATTGACATGAACTGAACTAAACTTAGCAAACTGAGATGTAGGGCTCCAAGCTGAACTAGACAAAGTCCTTGTCTCTCTGTGCTTCAGGAATGTGGGGTAATCATACACAGTTACATGTATGACCCATTTGGCTCTAAGATTTAACCCTCTCTGTGTGGATTTCATTCTTGTGATCTATTGTTTCTTCTTGCCTCATCGTGATACCAATTTTCTTGTATTCAGTATTGATCACACTTACAAAGTATACATTGGAGGAGCTCAAAAAAGGCCTGACGGAAACTACTCTCGACCAGTATTGGACCCTAATGGACAGGTTTTAGGACAGGTTGGTGAGGGGAACAGAAAAGACATCAGAGATGCTGTGGAAGCTGCCCATAAAGCAGCTCCAGGGTGTGTTTTTGTGCACTTTTCATTTTCAGTAATTAAGACCTTAACTCTTTCACACTAACATCAGTATCCACATTCTTTACAATCTTCTCTGTACAATTTTTTTGGTACTGACAAGGAGAATTTGTTTAACATCAAAGCTTCTTAGGTTGGCCGTCCTTTACTTTATTCACATGATCTTACTGAATAATTCAGGAGAAATTAGATGCTGGTCACTCTTAGGGTTTAAAGGGAAAGAGAAATATAGAAATATAAGAAATATAATTATTTCTCGTAGAGGTTGTATGTTACATATTGTTAACATAGCTACATCTTGATTGACTACAAGTTGATAAGCTGATTGATGTCAGGACTCTTAAGTTTTTTTTTACTGTTTCCTAAGTTATTTTGAATCAGATTTGTTGCTTATAATCTATTTGTCAACTTTGAGATTCAGTAGTTCTTGAAGTGAGCATCATACACGTGCAAGTATGTTGCGGTTAATTAGGTTAATATAATCACTCCTTTTTTTGTCTTTATAGTTGGGGGAAAAGAGCTGCCCATAACAGAGCACAAATCGTTTACTACATGGCAGAGAACTTAGAGCTACGGCACAGTGAACTTAGCCAGAGACTCTGTGACATGACTGGATGTTCTGTGGAAGAAGCTAAGAAAGAAGTGGACATCACAATTCAGCGCTTGTTTTACTGGGGTGCTTATGCTGACAAATATGGGGGTGCTGTGCAGGTTAGTCCAAGAATACACCTTTTGAGGAGATGCATTTCATATGGGGGGTGGGTAAGAATGAAATAATAATGATAATAAATTTAATACTTATATAGTGCAAAATTCATTACAAGTATATGATCTAATGCGCTTTACAATAAATTAAAAAGCGATAAAAATCTATATAGTACATAGTCTAAAAATGTTCACACAATTAACAGTATGCTTGTTGTTATGCCTGTAGCCTTTTTTGGAGGTCTGCGTGCATTCTCATTGATGAAGTTATAGTTTAGAGCTAATTTAAAACAAGACTCACATTTTGATGCATCTTTCAGTCATTATTATGGAATGCAGAGGTGTGCTACACACTACCGAACCAAATACATATATGTTCCTATATGTCAGCAAATTGCAAGATAACGTAGAATTTTGAATTTTTTTTTTGTTAAAATGAGAAATATGGATACTGCAAAGCATACCGATACTGTTTTAACTTCCGTTACCGGTGTATGAAGGGGAGAAAAGAGAACGAAAATAAGTTGGAGTAACGATCACTGATCTCTCCATCCTTATTAACATCAGTCACGCAGGCTAACACTGTTTTGAACTGTCTGCTTCAGTTGTGTTCTTGAATTGTTATCACTTTCAATTTCTTTAAAGGAAACTCCATTTTATGGTGCTACAGTAAAAATTCACGAGCCAGTAGGAGTCATTGGTATCACGTGTCCCGAGTCCTGTCCTTTACTGGCTTTTGTGTCGTTATTGGCTCCCGCTGTCATCAGAGGAAACACCGTGGTGATTATACCAAGTCAGAAACACCCAATGATAGCAGTGGACATGTATCAGGTTAGACAGTTTTATGCCATGGGCGAGTAAAGTAAACGATGAAGGCCATTTACATGATTCCACGCAACAAATGATAAATAGGAAAAATCAAAAATAATTTATTTGATTTTCAGATCTTTGATACATCAGATTTACCTGGCGGCGTGATAAATATAGTTACAGGTGATGGAGATCATCTTACCAAATACTTGTCTGAACACCAAGACGTGCAAGCTATATGGTACTTCGGCTCGGCAGAAGGGAGCAAATTCGTGGAGTGGTCCTCTGCAGTGAACGTAAAACGTACCTTTGTGAACTATGGCGAGAGCCGTGACTGGTTCGAAAACGCTCAAGGGCAGGGAGAGGAGTTTTTGTTTCATTCTACAGAGTGTAAAAACGTCTGGCTACCCATGGGAGACATTTTTGCCAATTAAAATGGACTTTTGCACGAAGTATGTCTACAGCCGTGAGGAATTTCCTCTTGAATAAACTGAGGGATTGAGAAAAGCTAAAAACTAGAATACAGCCGATTATTTCCTGCCGGGGGAAAATTTTCATTTGTTGTGAGATAGAAAGATTCGTTTTTGTTCGTTACAGAAATTTAAAGTCTCTCCGATATATATGTAGCTCTTTCAGTATTAATATATTTTTGATCTACTGATTAATAATGCAATGAAGGTTTAATATGTTGGAGAAAAGAAATATAAATGTGAAACACCATTAACATTAATTATAACATACGTGTGGTTCATTTTCGAGTTAAAAAAAATGCTTGGTATGTGGATGGCCAACAGTAAAAGAATTCAGATGTACTTATATGCTTACTAAGAATAAGCAATTTTCTTTTATTTTACTTTGAGATTCATCCCAGGTACTCGAGGTTTATTGAATAAAGTCAGTTATTTCTCTCTTGCATGTTCTGTATTTGTTGAAACTTCACCTGTTCGGTGCGTTGGGGGCTGAATTTAAAACATGGATAATAGCCTATGACTTTTGCAAGGTACAAACTGATATTTCTTGTTACTTAATCAAACTTCTAACCTTCATAAGAAATAGAGGGTAGCTAATCAGAACACAGAATTCGTTTCATCTGCCCATAAGCGCTGCCAGCTATGTAATAAATTAAGTTATTCCTCTACTCCTTCATTCTTTTGAATCCATCTCGTAGACGTCTATCTCAACGCTCTGGTGGAAAGTCCCATTGAAATAAGCCTTGGTGATGACACCGTCTTTAAAGTTAATAAATCCTCGAAAGGTGATTTACTGTAGACCCATGGTGAACAAATGGTGCGAGGGATAGAACCTCGCTACAACTTTGTGAATTCCAATGAAACCGATTTGGGATGCAGGCCTGTAGCACGCGGGAATTTACGAGGTTTTATTTAAAGAGGGTGGATGCGATGCAATTTGATGTGCAGATAGTACGTTTGTTTCTTTGTTTCTTGCTTTTGAATTAAACAGGGAGCAAAACTCAATATTATCAATTCATGATGAAACTTGCAGAGTTTCGTTTCGAAATCGTCAGCCGTCACCTTGTCTCGTTGCACTAACCGTTTAAAGAAAACATCACCGATTAATTTCAGTCCAAGTCTGAGCATGTCATTCACGGCACAATCTACATGCAGTTCGTTACCACATCTCACTGTACTCTATTGTTCTTAAGAACCCTTCTGGCTAAAAAGTTTGAGACAACAACAAAGTTATGTTAACACGCCCTCAAATTTCTCTTCTGTTAATGAGTCCTATTTTCAGCGGCTGGAAATAGCTAATAGACCATGAGATTTGCAGATTGTTCCCCTTACCCATCCCTCCCACAAGTACTACAAAACCTACAGTGGTGACTCTGAGCAACTCGTCTGTACAGTGCAATGTAAAAGCACAGTCTTTCATGAATGGCATAAACCAAGAGAGAAGCTAAACTCTAAAACTAGCAGCAAATAGAAGTGATGTAGCGTGCATCTATTGTTCTACCACCAGAGTCGTCACCCACATTTTGCAGGTCAAAGCTGAAGCTGAAGTCTGAGCTGATGATAGCGTTTCGATGGAAGTAGAGATAGTAACCAACTAAGTTGGTCTTCAGATATCATGGTTTAGTGACGAAGGGGCTCTCGCAGATGACGAGCATTACTCCATTACCAAGAATTTAAATCATACAGTTTTTGAAATACGTAACACTTTTATTACCTTCTCATTCTGGAGATTATACCGTCCAAGTTGTGATACCTAATCATCAACAGTACAATGATACCTCTCGTTATAAATTGAAAGTTCTTGGTGAGATAATTTTTATTCAGTAATAGCGTACGATATCTCAATTTGAATATGTGCGAACTCTCTGTTTGTGATTTTTGAAAGTCTTCTATTCGCACGTTCGTTGTTGTTTGTTTTTTTGTTTTCAGTTTTCTTTTCATTCCCTTTCTTCTTTCTTTCTTCAAATTATGTTTACTAGATGTTCTCGTTGTTCTGCTGTAGACTAATTTATACGCCAGCGTTCAGTCCAACCCATTTTTAGTTTTGGAAGCTGAAACCAAGTGTTATTTTTTGGCGCGAAGAAAAAGCGAACCCTGTCTGAAAAGAATGTAAGGGTTAATGATCAAAGAACAAATATTTCCCACCCAAATAGTCTCATTAAAACTGATATTCAAATCTATCTTGTAGATGTCTCTCTTAAAGCTTTGGTTAAAAGTCCTGTTGAAATATCCAACGATGGTAAATTCCATTTTGAGAGTTGAAAAATCTTTGAAATGCAGTTAACTCTGGAAACATAATTGAAATATGTTACAAGGACTGGAACCTTACTACGCCTCTGGGAACACCAATAAAACCGAGCTGGAAATTTTTGATGCAAGCGAAGCGCAGGCAAACGCAAAAGCAGACTTATTCAAAGTTAAGGACTCGACGATGCCATGGCAACGACATGTTAGTAGACGTGGTTTAAATTGGAAAAAAGTTGTGAGCTAAGGTCGTGACTAATGAGACAGCAACTCATTGCGAAATGTCTTTATAAAATTTTGCTTCGTACGCATTCGTACGCACTGCTTCCAAGCAATTCCATTCTTATTCTTCCCTTTTTTTTATCTCTTTCTACCCAACATTTCCGGCAACATTTCGCAAAATTGCTTCAATCTCTTCTGTGTTAAGACGGTATGCGAGTAAGGAGGCAACAAAATTGAAAGAGAGTGATTAAATACTCCGATAATGTATATCGTTCTGTACGTGGGAACAATGCTTAGGAAGGCGCATTTTGCTTCGTTAGGCTTTAGAAATTGCAAAAAGGATAAATGTTGCCATTTTCCTGATATTTATTTATATTTTGACCTTAAGGTAACAGAGTATTTGTTTAATCTATCGTTTTTAGTTCAACCAGCCACAAGCAAGTTGAAAGACTCACAGAAAATAAACGCCCTATCCAGCATGTTGTGTTAAATGATCCTTATTACACCGTTAAAAATGATGTCATCTATGCATGCGCAGCCACTGTTCCGACACGCGTAACTTACCCAGCCATTGACACGCCGGTACAACCTGTCACCTCGAATCATCCTCAGTGTTCATTACTGTGAAGATCGCTTTCGTATCCACGTCTTTATCCGCTGTTCAAATATATGAATTTCATATATTCACTATCGTTTATAGCTCTTGTTTGATGTAAGCGCCACGTCAATTACAAGCGGTCCATACTCCAGGTGTGAGATGATCATCTTACAAAATAACAGCCATGGTGAAATTATATGAGTTTGTATGGGAATATTTAGGGCCGCTCTAAGGAATAAAGCGGAACGAGAAAGTTCGGTTGATGAGCAACGTTTCTGGTCACAATACCACCCAAAAGTCTCGCACATTTCGGCAGAAATTAGTGTTTTTACTTTGTTGGAATGACATCTTGTTCCTGAGTCCCTTCTGGTGTAATAAGAGAGCGAGATAAGGCAAAAAAAAGGCAAAAAGTATAGTATTTGAAGACATGACTAATATCCGAAATTACAATTTTCCCATTTGACAACAAACACGGCTTTGAGGAAAACAGTCAAATTTTTGCATGTTTTTTATTCAAAACAAGTTAGCACATGATGGGATGGATCAGCTTTCGTTCAGTTTTCAAAGAATAATAATTGGTTATCCTTTGAAACATTCGCTCTTGCTGATGTATCTCAAATTAAAAACGGCATAGATGTTATTTTATCTTACCATCATTGAATCAAAGGCTCTGTGAGCCAACTCATTCAAATTATTTGAGGGATGAGATTGAGTTTTTGTGTAATTTCACTTCATGGTTTGTTTCAGTTTTGCCTACTTTTATTGAAATGCATGAATGTGTGTAGTGTGATGCACTGCTATGAGCTTCATATAAGTATGCTATGTGCATGGATCTTCATAATTGTGGGCAAAAATGAGTAGGGGTGTTAATTGGTTGGGATACGATAATGCACACAGGGAACAAGCTCTTTGGGGCTTTGGAGTGATGCATTTCACTGAAAGTGAGCAAAAGTGAAACATACTACCATTTGTTTGCTTTCCTTGCAGTTCCACAAATTCTTGGAACCCCTGGTTAGTTTCTTAACAACAGTGGACGGAGCAGTAGAACAAGCAAGTGGGCCAATGATGCATAAAAGGATTGGGCTATACATAGGTGCTTACGACAGTGCCCACTATAAAAATCCTTCATTCTATGTTCAGCCCCTCCCATAACTTTTCTTATGGTTGAACAATAACAACAACAACGTGCGATGAAGAACAATAACATTCTGAGGAATAGAGAATTGTTGTGAGTATCAGAAAACCCACATACCTTCTTTGTCTTAAATGGCATTATTGACAAAGTATATTTATTTCTTTACCTTCATTTACGAAATGTATTTGTCCTCTTTGATCGCAAGAACAACTTCTGGTGGGGGTGTGCCACCCGCTTGTTTAAACTCTTACCCATTTTAGACCAAAATGTGCGATTTTCCCTACCCAATTTCAGACCAGACTCTTAAAAATGGCAAAAATCTATTACCTATTTCAGACAAGCAGGCAAAAAATACCCAATTTCAGGCCAAAATGTCCAAAATCCATACCCGTTTCCAGACCGGAATAACTAGAAAACTATACTGTTTGGGGCAGCACACCTATATAGCTTATATAAGGGAGTACCTCCGGGAAGTGGTATTATTAAGTCATAGCAACAGCAACCGTGAGGATGACAAAGTATATTTAGTATTTGTCTTTATTAACTTAATTTCTTTATTCTCTTTGATCGCAAGAATAACTTGCAATCAACAACAATGATAACTTGCGATCAACAACAATAATATTCTCAGGAATAGAGAAGTCTTGTGAGGGTTAGAAAACCGGCTGCATACTTCTTTGCCTTAAGTGGCATTTCTAAATTATTATAACAGGAATAGTGAGGATGACAAAGTATATTTAGTTCTATATCTTCATTTACATAGTTTTTGTCCTCTTTGATTGCTAGAATAACTTACGATCGACAAAAACAACAAGTTGTGATCAATAACGTTTTGAGGAATAGAGAAGTCTTGTGAGGACCAGAAAACCCACATATTTCTTTGCCTTAAGTGGCATTATTAAATTATGGCAAAA